ATTTCTGGGACTGGCAGTTTTTAAATAAAGAGGACATTGTTTGACTAGTTATTTTTATCCGGACTGTGACCTTTTAATTTGTCTCCCACTTCCCTCCCTCAGCTTCACACACCTGATCCTAAAAAAGACTCTGGACTCTGGAGGAACTCTAGTAAATTTCAATCTCTGCTCCCCAGTTCAGGTACTCAAGTATCTTAATGCAAACCTCCCCATGATAAATGAAGAGTTCCCTTTCCTGTACACTACTCCAAACAAGAACCTCCGGTAAATTTTACCCACTGCTAGGAGAAAGCAAAAATAATAATATGTATACTTCTGCAGCCAGAATCTGATTATTATTTGGATGAAGTGCTGAGAAATATCAGGCTATTTGGAGGCTTTGTTTAGCTGAATGGAATCAAATCAAAGGAAAGCATGGAATATGAAAAAGAGCAAAAAACTCCAGGGATTCAGTTCACAACCAACTGCTGGACTCCAGTCCCAAGCACAGCATGTCTGTATTTAAATGGCTAATATCACAGACTGCTAATTGTCTGGCAACACCTATTTTCTTTAGGGGTTTGACACAGCCTAATAGGTCTGCCAAACTGTTTGAAAATCTCTCATGCGGGGAATGAAAGCCGTATTTCAGTGCACAGAATCCCAAGAGAGTTATGCTAAAGCTGATAAAAGCAAAACAACAAAAAAGAAAAGGTAAATGAGGAGGTCATATTCTGTCCACGGGCTTTTTCTTATTCTCGTGGAGCATGAGCAAAAAAGTTAGCAGTATGCACTATTTCTAGCTTGTAATTTATGAACATAGTTTTCTTTCTTGCACCTAAGTCTCCTTCATTTTTTCAGTCTGCATGTTAAACATCAACAGCCTTGCTCCCTTTTACTCTCTCCGCATTCAGAGGTGGAGATGCGGTACCGAGGCTCTCAAGCAAACAAAAATTCACCCTAACAATGCAAGTCAGTTCTTTAGGGCCAGGCTGGCTTGCACGCGTGCTGTGCTTACCACATGTGTTTTGCAGGGACAGGTGGCCTGGTTTCCACCTCTGTCTGCTGTCCAGAATGCTCCAGCTCAGTGCTCGAATCATCACACACATAAGTACGTGATTATAGAAAAGCTGGATTGCGTGTGAGGGATATTCTGCTAGTTTGTTTCTCAGAATATATATTTTGCCTGCCTTTGTGTAAGATTTCAAAAGCGGTTTGGCTGAATACATGGCTTTTTTGTTTATTTTCCCATTGTGTTGATTTTCTTTTCCAAGAGCTATTTTTTCTTTCAATAAATAACAACAAAGAAGACAACCAAGTCCACAATGCAGATGATCAGCAAGGATGATATTGTCATCCTGTGTCAATCGGTTCCCGAGCCTGGTGAAATAAAGAGTTCCTTTGGGAACGTCAGCGCTTCATCAAGACCAATTAGTGGAGATACCGCTGCTTGTGTTTGAGCATTAACGACTGGGCAGGGCTGTTTTTTGGAGTGCCTGACACTGCATGGAACAAGGCACCGACCTAATTACTCTTCTACAAGAGCAGAAAATGCCTTGTGAATGCCCTCTTGGCAAGGATGTCTCATTAAGGGGAAAAAATAAACAACACAAGCACTCCTAGAAACAAAAATTAACACGATAGGTAACCTACGGCCATGAGACTCACTTCGTGGCTGTGGGAAATGAAGAGAAACTGCTGTAAGGTAGCAGATGATATATTTCTACCTAATTTCCTAAATCTATCTATTTTTTTGACAGTAAGAAATACGGTAGGTGGGACACAAGCATGCATCGTTGGAGAAGAGTGAAATGCATTACAGTTACTGGAATCACTGTTGAATAGTAGTTGAAGGGCATTCATACATTGGTGCTCAATTGGAGTTGTTTTGTTAGTCTGTTCTTTCATGGTTTGCAAACTTCCCCAGGAAAAGAAGCATTTGGTAGGCCTGAGCAAAGAGTTGGTAATGAGGAACTTAGAATATTTAGCCTCTCTTTCTGCACAAATATGATTAAGGAAAAGACTGTGGTTTCTCAGTTAAAGATCTTAGTGTTGGTTAGAGTGTTTTTGGTCATAATAGTGTTGTCAAAATAGAATCTGAAGAGTCAGAGCAACAGTTTGCTCAAAAGTTTCTTGTCTCCTGAGCAACTTTATTTGCTGCTCAGTTGTACTCACTTCTGTCCTTTTTACCTTTATTTTCTTCTCCTTTGAAAAGTGCTGGCATATAACAGGAATTGAAAGTGTGTTGTTCAATTGCAATTTATGAGACAAATCACATGTAATTACTTCTTTTCCTTGACTGATTGAGCACATGCTCTTTAATACTGAGGTCCATTATTTATCCAGTGAGTGGGTGCAGCAGCACAGACAACGGCACTTGTCATACTTTGCTCAAAAGATGGATTTGGGGCAACTCAGCCTTGAAAAATCAATTGCTCGGTAGTGTAAGAATGGTTAAGCTTTCTAGGTAAGGGGAATATAGGGGTCGTGCAGATATTATGTTTTTTGGAAATTGTCAGCTTAAACTGTGGAACTGTCTGTCTGGCTTGTGGATGAATGCAGCCCTTAGAATGATCGGATCATTTACAGATGATCTTGAACCTTGTATTTTTTCCTTATATCTGATCTTTACCATACAGACTTCTGCTTTACTTATCTTATTGCATATAATGGTGAATTATATAAGAGAGAAATGAAATGTTCAACAGCTCTGCAGAAGAGTATTTACTACCTGTAAGGAAGTAAGTATAGCACCTCTTAGATGCTGCAAGTTGAGTCTCTTGTAACATGGACAAACACTACAGCCTGAGTGTCTGAACCTGCCTCTCTCCAGAGAGATCATTTATTCTATGGAGAAGAGTTGAGATACAGCCCTTTTCCTTCCTTGAGTTCAATGGAGAGCCCACTCACACAACAGATCTTAAACTTATTTATTTCAAAATTTGCTTGTTTCCAAGCCTATTTTTTTTATCTTACCATGGCTCTAGCAGACAGTGCATGATGCACAGGGACCATGGAGGGCTGTGCCTTCCTGGGGCAGCACTTACTCCCCTTGACTGCTGTGCAGCTGCACATCTATTTCCAGAGGTGTCATCACTACATGCTTGGCCTGGAGAGATTTAAGGGTCTTGGGTACTTTTATTTCCATTGTTCTCTCTCTTACTGAAATTTGAGCGCATGGCATCACATTTCCATCTCCATTTGCTCCACAGAAAATAGTTGAAATGATATTTAAATCCTGCACCAACATACTGTGGGACTTTCTCATGTAATTGTAAATTCTGGTGTCATTAAACGGAGAGTCTTACAAAATCTGCTTTGGTTGGACTCTGATTCAATTGCTATTCTGATGAAATAATGAGGAGTCATGAATAACTATAGATTTGCCCAGTTTAGTCAGGATTCTCGGGAGAAATGCAGGGTCCAGTATCTACAAGGTACTTGCCTCTATATCTGTGTGGAGCAGCAAATACATCTATTAAGTATTCACCTGTTAACTCAGCTTCTTACTATATCTGACTCATCAGAATGCCTTGTAATGTAATATAGTTTAAAAATGTACCCTAAATCAGTAATTTAATCACATTTTACACAGTTCTCATTTGGTGTTAACTTCTATTGATTTCATGTGGAGTGGCTTCAAAAGGAAGTGAATGAAGAATTAAGAACTTCAGAATTTGGCCTGTATATGTCCTTTGAAGCAACACTTTTAAACATTATCAACAGGAGTAAAAGACAGTGATAGAGAAATAACATAGGGTAATTGCATAGTTATACTAGAGATTTGTTAAAGGCAGATGCATAAGAATTGCTGTGACAGAACTCATTAAAACTAATTGTTCTTCTGTAGAAAGACTTTGTGATTCCACAGCAGTTATCAGCTAAGGATCTTAGAGCCCTCTGCAGGCACCACCTTATTCTGGCAGTCCCAGCTGAGAGATAATGTTCTGTCTTTTTGTAGGAAGGGAATTTCAGACAAATGTCTGCTGGATTTCACAATTGCCTGTTGGATCCGAATTACTTCTGGGATTAGTCTAAGAACAACTAACTTTTACTTCATCTTACTTGAGCTGTCATCAAAACTTTCCCCTTTTCTTGCTGTTTTCATCCAATCTTCTAGAGAAGCACTGCAATAGAAGGGAATTAATCACTTGATCACTAATTGAGTGATTTGAAGAGCGCTGTTATCAACGGTCCACTGTCAAAACAGAATGATGTGTTCAGTCTGCATATGCAGAGATGTCTCTTCTGCTTGTTACTCTGACTATTTTCATTTTTGGACTGCAGGATGAAAGAGAACACACATAAAATCTTCCAATTTCTCAAAATTGAGGGGCACAACGTATGCTATGAAGATCAGGAATTTAATGCAGAATGATTCTGAAGAATCGGAAATATGGGATGCTGATCAATGGAGATGAGTGCAAAGCACTAGATTCAGGCTGGGCTGGTGAAGTACACAATTCTATGATGAGGAAAATCTAGAAAGGTGAAAAATGAAACCTAGGCACTACAACAGCTCATTAGCTAACCCTTAGTCAATAGTTTACTGTTTTTCCAAAACTGTTATGATGGAAAAAGCAAATATCTGGAATGTATAAACAGGTTTAACTTGTGGAACTAATGAAGTAATTAGATGAAGAATGAAGAAAAAAAGTTAAAAGAAACAGAGGGTAGTATACCTGAAAGCAAGTTAGAGTCTGCAAACATAAAAGAGTTGACAAGGCTATGTTTATGGTAGACAGGACAAAACAGGTCCTGGAACCAATTTTCTAACAATAATGCAGTGGTGTGCATGTCAAGAATGACACATTTTCCTGTGAGTAGGGATGGACTAGATGAACTTTTTGATGCTGATGCTTCTAAAGATTTGAAAAATCCTGAATCCCCATGCTAGTGCCCACGTGGGCAACTGCAGTACTACTTGAATATGTAATTATTGATTTAAATACAATAATCATAAAGAATACTGGGTAAGAAATCATGCTAACTTTCTATAATATTCTTTGTTCTGTTGTCAGGTCAAACTTGGAGGAGAAGCTCCAAACTCCAGTGTAATCCACATAGCCAAGGGCAATGATGGCAGTGGTAGCAGCTGGAAGAGTGTTGGTGGCAAGTGTGGGACCAAGTGCCATCTTCTGGATTTTGCCAACTCTGAGCGGCCACTGGTTGTTAATTTCGGCTCAGCTACCTGACCACCGTTTACAAGCCAGCTGTCTGCCTTCAGCAAGCTGGTGGAAGAGTTCTCTGGTGTGGCTGACTTTCTGTTGGTCTACATTGACGAGGCTCACCCATCAGATGGCTGGGCTGCTCCTGGTATCTCCCCCTCTTCCTTTGAAGTTAAGAAGCACAGGAATCAGGAAGATCGATGTGCAGCTGCTTACCAACTCCTGGAACGCTTCTCCTTGCCACCTCAGTGCCAAGTGGTGGCTGACTGCATGGACAACAATGCCAATGTGGCCTATGGGGTTTCATTTGAGCGAGTATGCATTGTGCAGAGACAAAAAATTGCCTACCTGGGAGGTAAAGGCCCCTTTTTCTACAATCTTCAGGAGGTTCGTCTTTGGTTAGAGCAAAACTTCAGCAAAAGATGAAATCCATTCTCTACGGAAGATATGTCAACAGATGTGTCCCTTTAAGGTGATGTAAAAGGGAATTAAGGAAAATATATGCTGGCTTGAATAAGGCCTTTCAGATGATAGCAGGAGAACACAATTGGTAACAAGGTTGAACTAGGAAAAGAAAATGATAAACCAACTCACATAACCATTATTGTAAGAAAAGAATCCCACTCCTGCACTCCCTATGGGACAGAAAAGGTGAAGAGGCTCTGGAGGAAACGTGCTGCTGGTGTGCAGGAAGAGAGATGAGGTAAGATTTGTCTCCTGGAGGAACCCATCTTGCGAAGCGTCAATGCTGGGGTGAGCTGGAAGCCTTGCTTCCTGAAAGACAGTCCATGGAAAAGAAATGCTGTGCAATTCATCAATAGCATTTCTTCACTTTCCTGTGGCCAACGCAAGCAATTTTGAATGAGCCAGGGTCTTGCAATGACTTTGCATAGAAATGCAGTCGAGTGTGGCATTCCTCTCTCGGTAAAGATTTTCTTGTTTAGAGACTACGCAAACCATCATGCAATGCATTGTGCATGCACATGATCAAGATGAAACATTGTATGCTGGTATTTGTACTCTCTATGGACATCTCTGCACAGTATATTAATGATGCAGTTCTATCTATATGTTTGCATCCAATAGGTAGGCCTATGCCTGCTGAGAGAGATATTAAAATCTTTGAAGTTGCACCAAAAAGAGAAAGGTGATCAGTTAAGCCCATTATGATCCACGTTGAAAACTAAAAACTTGGACTATTTGTAACAACACAGCAAGAGCCATCTACTATTGGTATCACGAGACAAAACTCAGTTGATGCCGTCTCCTGGTTCTCAGAGCTGGCAGCAGCATGCATTTATCAATATTCTCTTGTTCTCTCTCTTTCTATTCCCCCTTGAACTCTCTCTGTCTAGAACTAAACTTAAAGGTTGCTTCATTTCTAGATTTTTAAAAAAATAACTTATTTCTCTCTTTTTTTTTTGTTGTTGTTGTTTGTTTGTTTTTTAATTTTAGTTTTATTTTTATTTGAGTTAATGACCACAAGATGCATTTTGGGGATGGGGGATCTTTTATACAACATACTTTACCTCACTGAAATGAAAAACTATCTGTCCCTTAACCTGTTAAATGTAGCCAAGCTGATTTTTGCTGTATTAGATAATTGCAATTAGTTTATAGCTAGATTAGTTTAGCTGAAAGTTAAGTAGTTTGCAACCTCAAAATTAATGAACTGCTCTTCTGCTCTTGGATGAGACAGTAGTCTGTGTTTGTTTCACTAGTGCTCTCAAGAGCCTTCTCAGAAAAACAGGGCGGACAGTGTGAATAAAGTAAGTGTGAAAGATGGCAGAATTTTCATAGGAATGGATTTGAGGAATATTTTAATTATGTTTTAAGAGACGATGTCAATTTAGAGTAGACATCAAATTTACATATATTAAAAACTAAAATGTTTTCATTAAGCCTGATAAAAGGACATGTTTACAATGAGCTAACCTGTTAGAGCTTAGACATGAAAACTCATAAGAGGAGATGGACTATCAAGTATTTTCTCAGCTTTGACAGAAACATGAAACAGGTAAACAGGGTAAAAAAATCAAATTAGTTCCTTTAATTTCTCAACCTGCCAACTATCAGGAAAACATGTATTAGTACTAACATATGAAAGAACAAAAAATACATACATATTTTAATTTTTAGAATGTCTCTTTAATGCTGTGTATTTCATTTTGGTCTTTGGAAATGTATTTTCAAGTACAGATCTAAAATGACAGTAACGTGAGTGATTTCTACCATTTTCTGGTTCAAACTTCCCTTTCTTATATTTTCTTCTGGAGACCATTGAAGATAAACATGCTTATATGACCTGGCAAAGTGTATCAGAAGAAGGGTATACAGAATGCTCTTCAGGCCTTTTGGTGAGCCTAGTTTCTCAGAAAGAGTATGTGCGTGTTTATGTATACACGTATGTATGCACATAAATATACATTGTATGTTTGTATGAATTCATATGCATGTATACAAGTGGTATAAGTGGTGTCTAAGGCCAGTAATAATAATCATTCTGTCCTTCCATTCATTAATATTACTGTAACTTATTGCTCAGCGTGAAAGATTGTTATTCATCCTCATACCTAAATGTGGTATATCACTGAATTTTTAAAACCTAATATTATAAAAGTAGTGACAGCCAAACTCCTTGATTTATTTAATCTAGTGTCCTGCCTCTGACTGTATTAGATGCTTCAGGTGAAGGTGCAATAATTTCTTCTGGAATTTTTGTTATTTTCAGATGTTATTGGTTTTGTCGTATCTAATGTGATCACTGATGTCTCCTTATCTCTATGAGAGGCTAATCCAGAATTATGAGATTATTTCTCGAAGTAGGTATTCTAAAATCAAACCTCATTTTAAGATTTGAATTAGCTGCTCATATGTCATTCTTATCTCCTGCTCTTGTATGTTAGAAAGGTATAAAAAACAATGATCCCAAGTTTTCTTTTATATGTCAATGCTTACATTCTATACATAGAAATTTACATACTGGTTTACATTTGGCTTATTTTTTCTTAAGCCAAACAATAAGTCACACTTCTGTATAGATTCTTTGCCTTTTTCTGAATCTTCTGTTTTTTACACTGTTCTTTTACTCAGGTGAGTAGAGCTGTGGATATTTGTCCAAGTGAAAGCATGCATTGGTGTACCCAGCACAGCATCTTTTCCTTATTACATTCTTAGTTATCCGAAACTTCATAAATCTCCATATCCTTTGTAAAACTCAAAGTAGCAAGTCTTTTCTTTCTGTCTTCTCTTCCTCATCATATAGATGAAATCTCAACTGTTTATCTGGGAAATGGTTAGCACAGCTGTTAAAACATACCTTTAGCTTGGAGAAGGGAGTCTGAATTAGTTATTCAATTAGTTAATACCTCTTTGTGTACCTAAAGTTCCAGTTAATTTTCAAGTCCATTTTCTTTTTCCTTTTGGATTTCTGTTATTTTGCCCTAGTGCAGTATCTTGCTATTCATAGATGCCTGTTCATCACACAGTATAAAAGAATTATAAAATTGGCTGCTCTAAATGGGAAATCCACAAGGATTTTCCACAAGAAAAAATACACAATAACTTAATTTCTTTCTTGGCAACGTGAATGCTTTACTCAGCCCAAAACTTAAAGATGGTTCAGCCTCAATGAATATCAAGACAGAAATACGTTTTGTAAATGCTTAAATTTCCCCAGAAAATTTGCAGTCAGGAAGCAAGGGAAATATTTCAAAAGACATTGGCTTAGAGTAAAAAAATATGTTCTGTAAGTGTATGATAGACACACAAGGTCTTCAACTTTTTCTTGGCAAGATTGAGATATCTTATAGGAAAAGTTTGAAATTAAGCTTTATACATTTTCTGTAGTTGATGAAAGAAAAGGAGGCATGTCAGATACATGAAATTGTCAGGTGGACTATTTTGTATCCAGGCAGAAAGTTTGCTACCTTGTTAGCATCCTGTTTCATCATTAGACTAGTCTACTGTGAGGTTGGATTTACTTTTATCTCTTACTCTCACTGTTTGAGAGCGCTAAACTACATTACTCAAGGTGCTTCAGTATGACATACTTATTGAGCAATCGCTTGCCAAATAGGTGCCTGAAAGTATTCTGGAAGACTAGTGTTTGTAATAGAGGCTCTAATAATGTGCCTCAATATTAGTATGGGAATCTTCCAGTACTTTTTCTTTTTGGGCAAGGTAAATAGCCATTCTGGACTATTGTTCTATGTTGTTCTGTGCTTAGCATCATTACTTAGCACTGTATAAAATGAATGTAAAACATTTTGTACAGAAAACAGTAGCATTTTGCTGTTGCTTGTGTAGACAATGACATAAATTTAAGGCAGCAGGAAAGCATGCCCTGTCCTTTAAAAAGAAGGAAGGATATTCCAAAACATGTTGTTAAAGAACTGTCTGAACACTTAGAAAATGCTACCATTTGTATGAAGGTGATCTTGGTGGGAAAACCCTTAAAGCTTCTCAGAAGGGTATCAGTGATTCATTGAGGTATGCGGGGATGGAGGTTATATTTCTGTATGTGTGAAAGTGGCTTTTCTGTGATGTGGAGTATAGGTTTAATGGTTCAGACTTTCATTCAGTACTATAACCAAAGCAATAAGAGGTATCAGGTAGGGAATACTGGCCAGTTTTGTTCAGTTCTACACCATGTCAGTACTGGATCCATGTTCAGTTACCTATGGACCCAATGCAGAGACTTCAAAGAAGAGAGTCCAGGTGAAGCCTGAATGCTTGTGTGTTTATGAAGAGCACTAACAAAAGAGTAATTGACTCAGTTGGTGTTCAGATGCTCTCACACTGGCATTCCTCTGTGCACCTTGGTGTTTCTGTGTTTGAAAGGAGGGGAGTCTCTTTAGGGCCATTAACATTTCTGGGGTGTAGATGCCTGTGTACTGATTATGTGTGTCATTGTTTAAATGTCAAAAATACACTTTATAGGAGAACCAGCAACATTTTGTTACAGTATGGTGCTCTGTGAAATATGTTTTCTTGATTTCTTTTATTTTTTTTTCTCATATTATAATAAACTATAAACAAAAATGTACCTCTTCTATGTCTTTTTATTCTAATGTTGGTTATTAATGTGCAGTGGAATTGACATTTAACCAGGGAAACTTAAATAAAGTATTTAATAACATAAATGCTGAGACTTATGTTTTCCTTATTTAAGAGAGAAATTGAGATACTCGAACAGCAATTGAGTCTGCATGGAATTATTTTTATGCTTTTTTCAAGAACACAAAATTTTTAAAAAACACGCAGCTTCCACTTCAGTGAACATGAAAAAAAATAATGAACTGCAAACTTATGTGAAAAATAAAATCATAGAATCATAGAATCGCTCTGGTTGGAAAAGATCTTAAAGATCATTGAGTCCAACCACGACCTGACCATAGTACCCTAACTCTAACAACGCTCTGCTAAATCATGTCCCTGAGCACCACATCCAAACGGTTTTTAAACACATCCATGGATGATGACTCAACCACCTCCCTGGGGAGTGTATTCCAGTGCTTAACCACCCTTTCTGTAAAGAAGTGTTTCCTGATATCTGACCTAAACTTACCCTGGTGCAACTTCAGGCCATTTTCCCTCATCCTGTCATCTGTCACCAGTGAGAAGAGATCAACTCCGCTCTCACTGTAAGCACTTTTCAGATATTGGAAGAGAGAACTAAGGTCTCCCCTCAGCCTCCTTTTGTCAGACTAAACAGCCGCAGTTCCTTCAGTCTCTCCTCGTAAGGCATATTCTCCAAGCCCTTCACAAGCCTTGTTTCCCTTCTTTGGACATGCTCCAGCACTTCAATGTCCTTTCTGTATCGAGGTGCCTAAAATCACTGTCACAGGTAAGAAAAATGTAAATAGAAGAAAGTCCTGCAACTTCTGAAACGAACTCACTTTGTTATTTAAGCTATATTTTACAATTTTTCTCCTCTTTGTCACCTTTGTAACAGTAAGCCTTAAAGGACCTTATATCTGAAAACAACTTGTGAATATAGGGAATTAATATAAAAAGAAATCACCAGCAGGAAAGATATGGAAAATGTTACATCTTTGTGTCCTGAGCAGAAAAGTTCACTATGGTATGCTGGGCATGCCTTTGAAAACAAAACAAAAGATCTTTTTACATTATCCAGTTCAGGTTGCAAAAGTAATCCTCAAAAGTACTAAAAGAAGACTTAAGCTATGTGAACATTCCTATAATCTGGCTGACATGTTATGACCTTTGTATCAATTGTCCTTTATATCAATTTTTTCTCTTCTGGAAATACCTTATGTGAGTGAGCATCCTGTTCAAAACCTTGAGGCCTCACTACATCACCAGACTAGGAAAGAAACAACCATTCTAGGTAATGTAAAT